GGGCAGAACTACAATTGCAGTTGCCCATCGACTAAGCACGATTCGCGATGCCGATGTGATTGCCGTGTTTGCCAGGGGTAATATTATGGAATTGGGGACGCACGACGAACTGGTGGATAAGAAGGGCATGTACTATGAGATGGTGCTGGGGCAGTCGTTGGATCGGGAGTCTTGATAGGCTTGTGGCACAATGTATACTATTATAGACGGGTTGTAAGCGGTCAACTTGTGTTTGGAAGGAGGCGTCGAGTGTATCCCCGGCGGATACTACACCATGTATGGCGCTTGGTTTGTATCGTTGTTTCTTCGCGACGAGGTCACTACTCCGTGTACATTGGAAACGAAAATACCAACCCTACTTTTCACAAACGTTGCGTTGCTAGCAGCTGATTCCAAGTAGGATGAGGTCGTGCCAGAGAGGATATTGGCTTGTTATGTGCTCCTTTACGGATTCAGAATCGAGCGAAGGCAGCCGAGGAGAGGAGCATGTGGGTTGGTGTAGCCCACCAATACCTTTAAGACTCTCTAAAGGTACATCGCCCGACAAATCCGCTGTATTCGAATGCGTCTGGCCCTGGCGGTTGAGAGCGAGGCTTGCCAAGCCCGAGGCAAGTTGAAGTTTCGTGTAGTAGCGTTATCAGCATCGGTGTCAGTGGGTGTCAAAGGCTACGTACAGATAGAGAGAGTGAGTCAAGATGTGCATACACGCTTAGAGGGGAAGCCAACGAGACAAGTGGCTTGAAGTGTTAACTGCAGCGTTGCAATTGAATTGTATAGAATCTGATATATGTCCCTTGGCCTTGCAGTTTGCAGTCACAAGTATTTGATTATCTGATGGTGTTGAGTGCTGCTGAAGGGGTTGAACACTTACCACCCCTCACTGTGCATCGAAAGTAAGTTCTCGGGTGCTTTGCGACGGGAATGTACTATATCTCTTGTCGGGTAGGAGAACGTCGGCTTGGTGACGATATTGTCCGTCTACGATCGTAGCAGTTGATTTACTTTGAGTTGAAAATGGTAGATAAGCTTCTGTCTGTTGAGTCAAACGGGCGATAATTGAAGGTCCAAGGGTCACGAATTACGATGTTTGCTTTTTCTAGGGTCTGGTTCAAAATTAGGACTAGGATGAGGCCCGGGGTCATCACAGGGGTTTTCAGGGGCTCCAACAGGGTATTAAAAGGGTCAATCAATTTCCCGGGTTCTCAGTGCCTGTATTCGAGTCCTTCAGACATCACTAATGTTATCTTTTTTTGCGCACACTATTACTGGAAATCACCATGCTTCCATTTAGCTTCGACAATGCATCGCCAGCATAGGCCCGGTTACCCGAAATGCCCAAAGCGCTATACCTCGCGGTGGCTAACTGGGTGGTTGGCGACAACCTGGATCGGAAATTCTACGAGTGAATGAGGCATGGCAGGTTCTTGAGTATTCGTCTGCACCCGACAATTCAGGCCAGCTGTATTCTGTTTTATAAGCTCGAATTTTAACGCTCCATCCTCTACAGGCAAGAACTCATATACGTGTTCAACCATCTCGGAGTTGGCTTGGCTGGATGTTTGAATAGCTCTGGGAGTTGAAATGCTTACCGTATAATTCAAGCGCCCAAGTACTAAGAAAGATGCCTCTATGAATCTGTGAGTTCAACTGGTCAATGACATGTCTCTATACAGGAAATTTTACCTCTGATGGCAACCATTATTAACACAGTCATGATGTATCAAAAGATAGTTGCCAACTGCGTGATAAGCTGTTACTGTCTAACTGTCTCCCAGACGCTTCATGACTCACGAGCAAGAGGCAAACTCAACCGGTGCGCCAATCAGGATCAAGTGCCAGAGAAAAAAGCAGGAATCAAAGGGCACAAACACGGCATGAGGCAGATTATAAACAAAAAAGGTACGTAGCTAAAGTAAAATACTTGGCTTGATATAAATGATTATTCCTGGAATATGTGCTATAAGAAACGCTTTCCATTCCCCCACAACAGCGACAACCGGTATGTGACTAAAATCCTCATCGACTAAATATGTACTGAAGTAGTGTAGTTTTCTTTCGACCATGCTACAGGCCATCCCGCGATTGAAGAGACAGACCAACCTGGACAACCCTCATGGTCCGCTCCGCCGCAGAAGTAAGCAGGCTCGCCGTCTGCTGTATAGCATCGTCCAAGCTCAGCGGAGAGTCTAGGATACTCGAAAAGGCCGAGAACCCATCCTCATAGACGCTATTCGCGCCCGTGCTAATTGTGCCCACCAAGGCAATCACATAGGCCCCCTGCGCCCTCGCTTTCCGCGCAACTTCACCCGTCATCTTCCCCTTGGTGGACTGGGAGTCGAGCGCGCCCTCGGCCGTAAAGACAATGTCCCAGCCAGAGTCGAGCGTCTGCTGCAGCTGGAAGTATTCATCGATGGCAGCCACTCGGGGCCGGAGACGGGCGCCGAGCAGAAGAAGGCCGGCGCCGAGGCCGCCGGACGCGCCGCCACCGGGGGCGCTCGACATGTCGTATCCGAGCACGGGGCTTGCCGCGCGGGCCAGATTGTCCATGGCTCGCGACAAGACGTGCACCTGGGCGGGGGTTGCGCCCTTTTGCGGCCCGTAGACGCGGGCGACGCCGTTGCTGCCGCAGAGGATGTTCTTGATGTTGCACACGGCTTCCATCTCGATGGCCTGCCCGCCTTTACATTACACGACGTGTGTGAGCATCGGCCGGTCCGTTTCCGGTTCTCGGTAGGGAAGGTGCTTACCTGAGCGGGAATCGAGGAGGCGCGGATGAAGTCCGTCTAGGCAGATGCTGCGCAGGTGTATCAGAGAGCCGCCGCCCGCGGCCGTGGGCAACTCTTGATCGTTCTCGTCGAGCAGTCTTGCCCCGAGCGCCTGGAGCATGCCGGCACCGCCGTCCGAGGTGCCGGAGTCTCCGCACCCGATGATGATCTTGGTGCAGCCCTCGTCGAGAGCGGCGGCTATGAGCTGGCCGACTCCGTATGACGTCGTGGCCGTCGGGTCCCGGCAGTCTCGGCGGACGAGCCGCAAGCCGGCTGCGCTCGCCATGTCCAGGACGGCGGTGCGCCTGTCCTCGCCGATGACGCCGTAGTGCGAGGGGATGGGCGTCTTGTGCGGTCCCAGCACCGTTATGGGACGAATTTCACCGCCCTTGGCGGCGACGAGGGCGTTGCAGAAGCCTTCTCCGCCGTCGTGGACGGGCATCCGGCGAACAATGGACGTTGCGTTGTCCAGGACTCGCCTGATGCCCTTTTCGATGCAGGCAGCGGCTTCGTCTGGCTCGAGGCTTTCTTTAAAGCCCGAGGGTGCAATGAGGATGCGAAGAGGCTTCATGGTGGTCATTTGATTGTGCTGAACTCCAATGCGTGGGAAACTGACCGGGACATGATCTACATTCAGGGGCCGCATAACACAGATATATACATGGAAATTAGGCCACGTCTCAGCGTGATGCCATGGACCCGGATGGGAAGAGAGACGTCGCCCGTACCGACTCTGCCACCGCCATGTGCATGGATGACGAAATCTGCAATATACACGGTGTTCCTGGCCGGCTTGTGCACGTTTATTTCCAGTTTCAACCGGATGTACGGAACAGGGAAACTAGAGGCTGTATCGCCACGATGGGATACGGCCCCGACGTCAGCCGCAGCGCTTGGTGTCTACAAGGCAGATTGTCGAGGCTGTGACAAGATGTCTCTGATGGCTTGCAGAGGACGCACGCATGAATACTTGCCAGATTAGATTCAACTTGGTGATGGATATCCACACCCGTGGGCCGTTGGTGTGTTGCAACACATACATGAACGTGTTTCCGTGGACGGGCCTTAATCAAGTCCTCTGGCAGTGCAGCATCTCGGCGTTGAAAATGGACTGATTTAGAACACGTTGGAGCGCTAGCAAGTCCACAAGACGCCAATTTCCCGACCCAATGCGGCATTATAGGGGTAAGGGTATAGTAGTAAGGTCTGATGGTGTTATCTGCAAAGTTTGGCCCGGACAAAAGAACTTGTTGTTTTGGGCCGTGACGCTCTCGAGCCCTGATCCTGGCCCCGGGTCGAAAAACATGGAGTGGTGACGGCCAGGAAAATTTCGAGCCCACGAATGAACTGCCTGTTTATGGGTATAGACGGCATCCATTAATGATTCTCATCATATAACTACATGTATGACATGACGACACTGGGTATACTCTAGGGCATCTCTGGCATGGCCCAGTTTCGCATCGGCTGAGGTTTAATTTTGGCCGCACGAGCGAAGCGGCTTGGCCTCGCTGCGCCGTACCGAGTCCCCGTACTGGACTAAAGATAGAAACCGCACCAGGACGTCGGATCGGATCATGATCGGAGGTTGGCCGGGACGTTGCAACCTGTGCTGCTGCTGCAGACGCACCGCATCGTCACCGCCATCCATCCCATCCCATGCCGTCTGGGGAACCGCGAGCGTCGAGCGTGTGGTCTGGTTAAAGTTGGGCCCGGCCTCGATGACCACGCGACCACTTGCCTGATGCAGCCGGGAATATCAAGTTTACGTTGTGGCGCAAGGGCCGATCGCCGCGTCACTCATGCACCTTCTCTTCTTCTCCACGGCGACTCCACGTCGTCGCGGAGCCAGGGACCCAGTCAACAAGCATAAAGGTAGTCATAAAGATAAAGCCCCGTGAGCTGGTTGGCTGGCCCCGTCAAACGATGCCATGGAATGGTGCGCCGAAGCCGGTTTGAGGCCATTTTGCGCTGCCTCGGACAAGACGGGCCAAAAATATCTCTCCCCCAGCCCCAGGCCAAGTGTGCCTTGCAGGGCTGAACTCTCCCGCAGCATCCTTTTGGTTTTTGGGAATTCCAAAAATACCAGCATCGTCGGCGGACGGTGAACTGCCGGCCATGGCGGTTGTTATAATCCTGCGAACGCGGCGTCGACGTTTCGTCCGAGCCAGTCATGTCGGCAAGTCACACCGCTCCCTTTGCTCCCTAACCTCCAAATAGAGTGCCTTGATCGACATGAAGCGCGACTCGTGCCCCCCGTCGCCTCCTGTTCCCCTGCTGAGCGCCGCGTGCGACATGGCGGCGTCGGACTCGACATCGCATGACGTCGAGGCCTACCACGCCGCCGGCGCCGACTTCAAGCTCGACACGGACGATCCCATCGTGGTGTCGTGGGACGGGCCGCACGATCCGGAAAACCCCAAGAACTGGAAGGCAGGTCGCAAATGGGGCATCACCATTCTGGTCTCGTGCTTCACCTTCATCTCGCCCTTCTCGTCGACCATGGTGACGCCGGCCATGGACGTCATCGCCCGCGACCTCCAGGTCCCCGCGGGGTTTATGCAGCAGCTCGTCATGACCATTTTCCTGCTCGGCTTTGCCCAAGGACCGTTCGTCTTGGCGCCGCTGTCTGAGATCTTTGGCCGCGCCATTGTGCTGCAGCTTTCTAATGTCATGTACTTGGTGTTTAACCTGGCGTGCGGGTTTGCCCAGACAAAGGAGCAGATGCTTGCGTTTCGCTTCCTGAGCGGCGTGGGCGGGAGCGCGCCTCAGGCTGTACGTTGGTCATGACTTGAACACACAAAAGACGATGTGCTGACTCGACGGGCAGATATGCAACGGCATCCTGGCCGACTGCTGGCGCAAGGAAGAGCGCGGCAAGGGCCAGGCCATCTACGGGCTGCTCACGTTTCTGGGACCGGTGCTCGCGCCCATTCTGGGGGCGTACGTGTCCATATACACGACCTGGCGCTGGATCTTTTGGGCGACGTCTGCTTTCGACCTCGTCGTCCAAGTCGCTGCCCTGTTCTTCCTGAGGGAGACGTACGGCCCTAGGATCCTCTTGCAAAAGGCGAGGCGCCTGACTAGGGAGACTGGGCGGAGGCATGTCACGGAGGAGAACCGGCCCTTGTCCCAGGTGCTCCGGCGTCGCATCTTGGTGCCGTTTATCATGTTGTTTGCCCATCCTGCCGTGCAAGTACCGTCTTTATATCGGGCGTATCTATATGGCGTCATGTATCTGGTGTAAGTAAAGGCAACAGACTCGCAGACATTTCTTATCACCCACAGCTGACCATGGAGGCGATAGACTGCACACATTTCCTCTTGTATGGGTAGGCACGTATGGCATGGCCAAGGGGCCCGCGAGCTTGAACTACCTGTCTCTTGGTATAGGATTCATCATTGGGCTTCAAATCTCGCACCCGTTGATTGACAAGGTTTGCAAACTATTCCCAACCCAAGGCGTCCTGTGGCCATGTTGCTGACTCTGCGTGACCAGCTATACGTCAAGTTTCAAACCAAGTACGGCCACGAGGATGGCCTGCCGGAGTGGCGTGTCCCGCCCATGATTATCGGCGCCGTGCTCTGTCCCATCGGCCTGTTCGTGTATGGATGGACGGCACAGGCAGGGGCACACTGGATATTGCCCAATATCGGCTGCGTGATACTTGCCACGGGGCTCATTATTGCTTTCCAGAGCGCCCAGGCATACGTGGTGGATGCGTACAACGAGCATTACGCAGCGAGCGCCGCCGCCGCCGGTGCCTTTGTCCGTACAATGTTTGGCTTTAGCTTTCCCTTGTTTGCGCCGAAAATGTACCAGGCTCTGGGACTTGGATGGGGGAACTCCCTTCTTGCCTTCACCACCATTGGCATTGGCGTAGTCAGCCCCGGGCTGCTCTGGTTTTACGGACACAAGCTGCGGGAATGGAGTGGGATGGGAATGAGATAGGCACTGGCTTCGATTTCCACAGATGCCGGCGGTGGACGCGAGTTGGGGGCTGTTGTTGATTTCTCGCCATGTTGGATATGGCACGGCATGGCGCATCATGTTTGCCTGGCGAAAAGGAGTGTATTGGTCACATTGTATCAACTACCTATTTGACATCATGTAGTTGGATGCTTCTCTCCCCGTGCCGTATTTTCATGTGCCGATCGAGGCTGTCCTTGCGTGACGTGCCGTGTGACAAGGGTTCAATTATAAAGGCTTAGAGCAATAGGGCTTAATTTAATAATAATCTCGTAGGATATTAAAGGTCTTAAGTTACTATAAGAAAGGAAGAGAAGGGTAACTACCTTATATATATAAAAGGAACACCTAGGCCTAGGGTTCTTACCTAGGTATATATTCTAGCTATATAATTAATAAGTTCTATATTAATATAAAGCCCCTTTATTAGGCTTTATAATTTATTAGGCCTTTTCTGTGTAATACCAGCTTTCTCTTTACTAAGCTTACCTTTAAGTA